CAATAGTCCAGCCTGGACAGAACAAGAGCTTGAACAAGGAGTTGTGTTGCATGTTCTGAAAGAAAGGGCCTGATCTTCCTAATGTTGTATAAAGCAAATCTGCAGGACTCTCTTCAAATGCAACTGAATAAAAAAACAAAAACAAAAAACTGTAATTAAATACCTGTAACTTATAGTGGGTTTCTTCTTTAGTTTGAAACTAAAGTAGGTTTCTGCAGTTTTAGCAATGTGGTCTGAGAAATTCAGCTTATCATCAATCACAACTCCAAGGTTTTTAGCTGTTTTTGAAGGAGTTATGGTTGATGAGCCTAACTGGATGGTGAAATTTTGATAAAGTGATGGGTTTGTTGAAACCACAAGCAGTTCTGTCTTAGCCAGGTTGAGTTGAAGGTGATGGTCCGTCATCCAACAAGAAATGTCTGTTAGACAAGCTGAGATGCGAGCAGCTATCGTCGGATCATCAGGATGGAATGAGAGGTAGATTTGAGTGTCATCAGCATAGCAGTGATATGAAAAGCCATGTTTCTGAATGACAGAACCTAATGATGCCATGTAGACAGAGAATACTACTTATAGTCAGTAGAATGCCTGTTAAGGGAACCATCAAAATAAAGTGTTGCCAATCAAACCCTCGACCTCAACCAGTTAAGCTTCTTTCCCTCTTCATAATGATCTACACATCATGTGAGGTTTGATCGGTGGATATACAGCTCTCAGTGCCACCGGTGTTATTCTGTTATCTTTAGGACTATCACTGCACTTGCTGATAACAGTAACATTTAAGAGCACAGAGGTGTTGCTCTTCCGTCTAGAACACAAAAGACCCTGAAAAACTCCTTGAGCTCTCTTCCTGAAGTGGCTTCCTACAATGACATACAAGAAAGGGTTTATTGCGCTATTGCTATACCCTAAATAAGTAGCCAGCTGGTTGCCTATTTGCAATATGTGCTCCCAGAGACACCCAGAAAAGAGCTGAAAGTAGTTGAGAGTTTCTAGGAACCGCAACAACTGAAATGGCGTCCAGCAGAGGAGAAACACGGCGAGGACCGTCAGAATCAGCCGAGCGGCCTTCCTCTCCATTTGAACTCTCGGTTGAATCACCAGACCACGGTTTTTAAGCGCTTTGACCATGTGAAAAGTACAAAGTGAAATAATTGGCAGCGGAACCAGGAACCCAATGAAGTTTTTCGTGAGGTTCCATTGGAGAACCCAGGCTGGATGAGGGTATGCTAGGTAACAGGCTTCCACCTCTACGAATGGAACGAAACTTACTCTTCGGAAGAGCAGAGCTGGGAGGCTGAGCATGAATCCCACCGCCCAAATCACCACACAGATACGTTTGGCCGATTTGGGGCATCTGAACTTACTGGGATTCATGGGTTTGGCCAAGGCGAGGTAGCGGTCCATGCTGACCAACACTAGGAAGAGTATGCTGCAGTAGTAGTTCATCGAAATGGCAGTGTTGATCACCTTGCAGAGCAGCTGACCAAAGTTCCACTGATAGCCTTGGGAGATGGTGACCGTCCAGAAGGGTAAACACAGGACCATAATGAGGTCTGCAGCTGCCAGGTTGCCCAGATACACATCAGCTACGGTGCATGGCTTCCGCTGGAGGCAGAACACGCAGAGGACCAGACTGTTGCCCACCACTCCCAGGATGCTGATAAGGGCCAGAAATGGAGGCTGGAGAGACGACAGCCATATCCAGACGACTGTGTCATTGCAGAGGAGGTTTGATGAATTTAGTTCCATTGGGACACTGTGAAATATTAATTGATATTGTATATTAGCATTCCATTTAAACTGTATTTAAAAATTATTTTAAATGTACACTGCGAAAAAAAAAGTAAGTGTAAATAAAACAAAGAGTATGTTATTACAAGGAAATACTACTTCAGTCTTTCAAAATATTAATTCAATGTGTTATTTGCTGTTTCTTTGTAATTAATTGTGAAATTTACAAGCAATTTCTGAGTTAAAATTGTTTCTACATATTTTTTCCCCCCAGTGCGGATTAAAAAAAGGCCAATAAAAATATACATAAGCAACTCATGGTTAAAAAAAAAAAACAGGATTTACTTTGAAACAATTTTCACTCCGAAATTTCTAATACATTTCACAATTAGAAAGAAATAGCAAGTAACACATTAACTTTTATGATAAATTTTGAAGTAGAAAGACTTTTCATTTTCTTGTAAAAGGTACAATAATCTTTGTTATTTAATTAATTGATTAATTCATTTTATTTATTTATTCCAAGCTTAATCCTTATGTTCACGCTTAAGCCTGTCCTTTCTTCCTAAATTGATTAAGTTTCCTTCATGTTTGGCAAGTAAAATCAACCAGACTCTGAATACAACTCAAAGAATGAAGGGGAGTCATTTGTTGGAACAGATCCATCTGGCTGAGCAAAACCTGGAAATTCCAAGTATGTAAAAGGCAGAATATTAACAAAATGTGTTGCAAAAAAGTGAATCTCAGTTTTGGATTCGGATTTACACATGCATTTTTCAGATGTTTTTATCCAAAAAGAATACATTGTTTTCCCTGGGAATAAAACCCAAAACTTTGGCCTTGGTAGCACCATGCTGTACTGTTCTAACAGTTACTGTTATAGTCATGTAACTTGTGCTGTTTGAAAATAACCATTATTATTAAAGTCCCAATGACTTGTAAGAATCTCTCCTACCTTTCATGTTAAGTGGCAGCTCCAGATTGTAGATCCAGATCTGTTCACTCCCGATATGTTGTCTCGCTGAATCTTCTCCAACTAGACGCTGGTGAGATCAGACAGGCGCTCTTATAAACGCTTAATGAGGCTGTCGTCAATGGAAGCCTGGATCTGTTCTCACTTTCCGTTTGTCATGCTCTGGCTGTCTTTCGCCTGTGTAAAATATTTGCACTATTATGAAGCTGATATGAAGATAAACATTATGACTCAAGCTCGATGCTGCCTTTTTAACAAATCTTCAGCTCATGACACAGCAACTTTAGATAAGCCAAATATTCCAGAATGATTTCACAATATTCTGTCTTTTCTTAAATGACTTCTTGAATGCAAGACTTTATAGACTAAATTTGTAAAATGAAAATTTATGGAATTCTTTCTGGTAAACCAAATAAACAAAAATGTTGAGTTGGCAACATTGTAAACATTTTTTCCCCCAATTTTTTTTCCAAACAATATAAAGTACTACTTATTGACCAATGGAAACAGCTTTTAGATTTTGAGTACTGAGAATAAAAATGGTACCAATTTCTACTCAATCGCCCCTTCATTCAATGCATGCTCATATCAGTTCATCAGTTCTTCTGTCCTCGGTTCAGTTCTGTTGGAGGAACTGGAGCGCTGAATGAGTTGGCAAAAACCAGTATCATAGCAGCATATATGCTGGAATTGTGGCTCATTTCGAGTCAGACTGACTGTCAGTCTTGTCCAAAAGTGAGTTCTAATTGAGTAACTTGTAGATCTGTGCTGCTTGTGCCGCAAATTGTTTTAGACAATTCAGTCAGATTTGGTGAACTGGTTCATCAAGTTCAATAAAAAGGACCAGTTTAAAAGAATGATTCGTTCGTGAACCAGACATCTCTCCGGACCATTTTCCTGAGGCTCTGGATTACAGGTAATATGTTGAAAATAATGTTTTGTTTCTTGCACAGACCGATTGTTTCGCTTCATAGTTTTCTAGTACTTGAGTTTGATAATAATAAAAATAATAATAACAACAACAGCTATCTATCTATGCTCAGCAAAATGGCAGGGTTACTTTCTTCTCTCTACTTTTCATAAAAGCAGGTCACGCAGACAGTCTGTGCTGTAATCAGCACATCTCTCACCTGAGATGGATTGCTTAATTAAAGCTGGTGGCAACAACACTTTGCTGGGAGGCTCAGACGAGTTCATGGGTATGTGTTGGTGGGGGTGGGCAGGAAGCCATCGGTATCTGTTATCTGGATCTCTCATCAAGCCAGTTGCCACTGTTTGTTTCAAACTCTAAAAGGCCCTTGTGAAATGATGCTTTTCTGGCATCATCACGTTGTGCATTTGAAAGGAATGGGAGAAGAACAGGTGTTTCAGCTCTGTTTTGATTGTGAATGTCATCTAGACTCTTGATGAAAAATGAATATTTGATGATCCAGCTTCTGCTCAAGCACTGAAACATTCAATGTTTGAGTATAGAGAATAATACAGACAGAAACAGAAAGACCGTGAGAGAGCAAAAGCCAAACTAAAACAGACTGATTTCTTGCCATCAACAATCTAGGACTAGGTCATAACTATTACTGCAAATTATATTTTTTAACAATTTATGAAGGAATGCAAAAAGAGCAGATAAAAATTCTCCAGTTGTGTAAGCGTTCCTTTTGCTTTAAAACGATCTCTGGAGAGTTTATGTGTAGTGTCATGGGCGATGCTTAATGTCTGGTATGTGGATAACACAGCTGCGTCAGACAGTGGGGAATGGTGAACCTGAGTAACAAGAGGACCACAGAAAGGCTGTTTTTCAAATCAATATTACTATGGTAACGTTATATAGTATTACATAACTGCTAGTTCCGGGCTAAATTTGACTGGCCTAATGATTTTGAAAAATAATTGATGTCTAACAGCACTGATATTCAGTTTCACTTCAGTTGCCTGGTTTGCCATTTTTTTATATTTTCCGGTTTGTTGTGCTTATTTTTATTTGCTTGTGTCGCTTACATAGGCAATGTTCATATTATCTCTAAATTTTCAATTGACAGTCAAGAAAAAAAATAAATAATAATAATCTTAGACAAACTTATTGGAGACTTGAACACTTTTAAATGAGCCTTATATGTAACATTAATGCAGGCAGAATGCAGCAACTGTATCAAGCAATACACCACCTTAATGTATGAGTAGCCTAAATTTTAAATTATAATATTAGTAGGTTACTTGACTAATGTAATGTCACGTTGCACACACACGAGGGACGAGGAGACGCTGGAGATTATGTTGACAGGACTTTATTTGCATGAACCAAGGAACCAAGGGAGACGAACACAGGAAGACGTTCACACGAAGACGTTACACCTGGGACAAATTAAACATGGGAAAGGAACACCTGGGGAGCAAGACACAGACAAAACATGGAACAGAGTCTGACATGTAATGCTTGATTTAAACAATATTTATTTACAAATGTTGATGTGTGTTATTATGCTAATCTTGTGTTAATATAATTGTTAAAGTCTTTACCTAACTGTAAACGTCTAAATTTTTATGAGGCTCTTTGTTGACTTGGGTGTGAAATAAATAAATGTTTAAAATATATGAAACATAAAATATAGAAATAATAGTACAAATATTGAAATAAACAAACTAAAAACATAGTTTTGTTACGTGCCTGTAACGTTAAAGCGTGACAACGGAGTTGAGAATCCAAATGCAGCTTTATTTTAAAAGAGTGGTCAAAACAGGCAGGGTCAAACAACAGCAAACAGGTATAATCCAGGGTGTGACAAAATAGTAATCCAATAAACAGGCGAAGGTCAGGGCAGGCAGCAAACGATCAGAAACAAGGTACACAGTCCAGGAATCAAAAACCACGAAGACAGGGAAACTAGGACACACAGGAACTAGGACACGCTACAGGCTAAACAATAATGAGCAATGAATGAATGGATAACCAGGCTATAAATAGGGTGAGACTGATGTAGGTAACAAGAACACACAGGTGAATGCAATAAGTGATGATGAGTCAGGCAAAGGATTATGGGAAATGTAGTCTGTGAGAGAGGCAAGAGTCAGGGGTGGAGTGCCCTCTGGTGGAGTTCATAGGCACTCCAGCTGGAGATCGTGACAGTGCCATTTTGAAAACATCTGCATAATCCTTTGTGTGAATTAGAGAAACAGAAGTCTTGTATGTTAGTTATTAGCTCTTTAACAGAGCAGCAAATTAAACAGAGCTGACAAGCATGCCATACATGAACACTGCAAACTGATGTGACACAATATTGTACACAGACCAGTAATAGCCGTTCAGGACAATCTGTCCACAAGAGTTATTCCACGAGGGACCAATCAGTAGAGTTAACAGACTCCTAATTCTCCGAATTTACTTTCCAGATCATGGAAAACATGGCACATCAGAGCATAACATGACATTTTATATATCTGCAAAGCTGGAAATGTCTCTAAAACAAATAAATGAGAACCAGGTGAGTTGTGGCATATCTAATTATATGGTTTGGAGTCCTAATATCATCATACTTACTTGGGTATACCAGGGAACACAGTGCTGGGAAATAACGTATGACGGGAGATTATGCAAGGTTGACGTGTGTTCTGTGTGCTTTTTGTAACTGTTAAGTTAATACTTCATTATTAAAATAAAAGTTTTATGTTTTGCAGTTTTATTATAGTACATTAATTACAATCTCAGTAGGTTAGTATGTTTTATATTTTTGTATGTTGCTTTTTTCCATTTTTGTAGTACATTTTTTATGTTATATAATTCTAATACTGTTGAAATTGTTGCTAAAAGACTATAAAATAGAATATAATACATTTTATCCGTAATTCATTTAATTAATCAGCAATTAAAATAAATTGTTACGGATTAATTCATATTTATAAAGATATTCTTCTCAAATCAGTGTCATTAATTAGCAGGCTCCCATTCCCACTATGGTTGGTTTATTTATTTGTTTGTTAGATTATAATATTATTTTTATTTTTCATTAATTCTAAAAAGCACTAGTCAGTGCATGTCAGAACTTCTCCTGGGCCCAAACCTCCTCAGACCCCAGAGGGTTAAGGTTTGTGTCATTACAGAAATGGACTAAACTGACTCTCAAAAATAAACCTAACATTCAGTGGCGTTAAATGTGTGACGAGTTGTCCCAGTCTCTATCCTCAGCAACACAATCGCATGGCAGTTCTGAACTATTTTGGTGAATTGGTGACTATTTGTAATCTCACTTGTACAATATTGTGTAATGAGCGACACCTGCACCACTCACCGGTCTCGAGTACCACGGAGGAGCCCTCGCAGGCCGGGGGTACTCCCGAGACTGTGCTGTCCCCCCCCCTCCTCCGGGGGAGCCGATCACGGTGGCCACGGTGTACCTGGGGGTAAGGACAGACAGAGAAGAAAAGGAGACGGAAGGATGAGCAGAGACAGAGATGAGAGAGGGGAGCGAGGAGCGAGGAAAAGAAAAAAAAAAATTATCGGTCCGGTTCCCGGACACACTGCCGCTTGGTCCTCAACTGGCTGAGAGGCTATCACTCGCGGTGCCATACGATGGTACTGGACATCGTTGGTGGACGGCCCACCGCTCCTCCACCTCCTGGCGGACGGCGATGGCTCCTCCTATTAAGGCCAACCGGCAGCGAGTCGCCCGTTCCCTGCTACTCCCCAATCATGGCGGATGGCAGCAGGCTCCGGCCTCCTGGCGAATGGGGCCGACTCCTCCGCTCCCTCTCGGATGGCAGCCACCCCTCCTCGACCCAGGAGCGCGGCAGCGAGCTCTCCGTCCCACCTCGTCTTCCATAGTTCCAGCACCACCGCCTCGGGCAGCCACCGGCGGTCTCTCCGCTTGTTCCTGCTGCCCGATCTCCTCAGCTCCGCGATCCCCCTCAGCAGCGAGGGCTCTCTGACAGCGTGTCCCTCCTTCCTCCCGGGTTCCGGCACCAATGTAAC